GGGGGGGCTCGGATGCAACTCCTGGGAGGTCAGATTCTGATTTTGCCCTGGTCCGAACTCTGGCTTCTAATCTGGCTTAATCCTGTTTGATCCAGCCTAATCCCGCTTCGTCCCTTTTCATCCAGGATAACCCCGCTTGATCCGAGGCCCGCTCCGGCGTAAAAGCCCCCCAATGGGGTTTAATCCTCCTTACATCCTTCCGACGAAGACCTCCTAGCAGTTGCCTCCTAAGGGGGGGCGGGGCTGGGACAAGGACAAATCTGCTCCAGAGCGTGCCAGAAGGCTCTCGGAGCGATCCAAAACGCTCCGAGAAGGCCGCGGCGCCCGGTACGTCCCTCAGAGCGGCAGGAACTCCGAGACCTCCGATTTATTTTGGGCCGGTTTTCTCGTGGTCCTGCCTTCGTCGGAAGGGGTGGCCATGGGGGGTGGGAGAAACGTGCACCTTTTGGGCCTCAGGGGGCCCCTTGGGGGCCCCTTCCCCCCCACCTGTCGCCCCCCCAGTACGCAACGCCCGACCCCTCTTGTTGTTGCATGGCGGCAGCCCGCTCTGGCGGGCCCGCCAGACAGGCGCGAGGGGGTGGGATCGGAGGAGGGCCAGGCGAGAATGCGGCGGCCCTCCCTGGCGTGCTTCGCCCTTCTTCTTCTTTGGCCTCCTGGGGCTCTTGCGGCCACGGCTGGACGCGCCTCGAAAGACCGGTCGGTGTCCGCGGGCCGGATTTGAGCGTGTGCGTGCGCGCGGGATAGTAGTTTTTGTGCGAGTTGGGCCGCCTCCGAGGAGGTGAGACTCCGGGGACGACGAAGGGGGAAGGAAGAACCGGGGGGAGGAGGAGGGGGAGGATGGGAAGGGCGAGAGGGGGAGGAAGGGGAGGGCTGGAGGAAGGAACATGCGAGGGAGGAAGGCGCAGGAGGAGCGGGAGGTGGAGGAGAGAGAAGAGAGGAGGTGAATGATGAGGAGGGCAGGAGAGGAGGAAGGGTAGGAGTAGAAACCAAGTCAGAGGGCCCCGCATACTCCCTCCCATACCATACGAATCAAGTTTTGCACAACCTGATATTGGGATTTAATCGCGTTCCCACCTGGCGGACGGGGAGGAACAGGAAGACGATGAGCAGCAGGATGAGGGGGGGTAAGGACGCCTGGCGGCGTTCCGCCCTCGCGTGTTCGGCCTCCGCGAGGCCATCCGCGAGGCGGAACCCCCCTCATGGAATGCCGAGCTCTCTCGAGTAGAGTTTCCCAGCGTCGTGGATCGTATAATTGCATGTGGCGCAAACGGGGTCGTAAGTGAGCTGACTGGCCTTCGCCTCGAGCTCGCGGCGTCCGCGCGCCGCTGGTCGCACTGGGGGGCTCGTCACTTACATGCTGGTCGTTGACAGGTATTTTACGTACTTCCAAATGCTAATATTTTTCGCCTGACTATTTCAAGAGTCGAGCGGTTTCCCCTCTTCCTTCCTCTTTCAGAGGGCGGGCGGAAGTCCAATCTACTTCCAACGCCTTCCTGCTTCATGTTTTTACCTACTACTTCCGACCGACGGGTACTCATAGGGCAACGATAGGGGGGGATAGACTCAGGAGGGGACACATCGAGCTAGAACGGGCGATACATCGCCGATATATCGGCGATCTACACGTAAGAGTGACCTTTCGCCAGTGGTAGGGTTCGCATAGCGCCACCGCTCCCAATTCGGTACACCCCCTGACACGTCTCGTGGCCCCAGAGGATACTCCACCGAAGGCCCCAGTGGGAGGGTTCGCATGGCACCACCGCGCCCAATTCGGCACGCCCCCCACACGGGTCTTGGCCCCATAACGAGTTCCAGCGAAAGCGGTACCCACAATGCGGTACTCGCAGCTGCATATGATTGGGCCTTTCGCCAGGCTAATTGTTCAACGAAGACGGAGTTGCTGCCGGTTTGCTCCTTCACTGTGCGGTGGCAAAGGTTCTGAGCAGGAGTTTGCCTTGCCCAACTTTGCTGCGAGTTTGGAACCGTCGTTTTCGACTGCGCACGTCCAGTGCTGAAGCGGATGACGGGCAGCCACCCAGAAAGTTTCGGCGAGGACCGGTATAGAGTGCGAGTTATGTTGCTTGTGCCGCAGCAGCAAGCCGCGTAACCTACAACGTGTAACGTGATGGTGCTGATGATGATGGTGATGGTGAGCGCGATGGTGATGGTGATGCTAATGAGGTTGGTGAGGCTGCGCTTCTTGATCATGATGGTGATGCTGGCGGCCCCAGTGACGATACTGATGATGGTTGTCATAGCAGCAAACATGATGATGGAGATGATGGTGGTAATGATGGTGATGTTGATGACGATCATGACGATGATACTAACGGTGATGGTGGTGATGGTTGTGCTGATGATGGTGATGCAGGTGCTGCTGCTAATGATAATGACGATGGTGATGATGCTGCTGATGATTTTGACGGTGTTGGTGATGCGTATCATGATGATGACGGTAGTGCTGATGATGACGGCGATGATGCCCAATCTGGGCTTGATGATGGTGATGATTGGGATGAGTCGGGTGGTGATGCCATGTTGATGACAATGATGATGGTGATGATGATGGCGATGAGGATGAGGATGACGATGATGATGATGATG